CAGGGAGGGATGCGGGGGGCCCCGCGGCACCCACCCACCCGCGGGGGACATTCCTGGCACAGGGACTGGCAATCGCCGGGGGCACTGCTGGGAGGGTGGAGAGGGACCTGCACCCACCCTATGGCAACGGGATGGGGGACACTGTGCTGTGGGGGCAGGAGGCCGTGGAGGGACCACAAAAACTCTACCACCACCCAGCAACGTCAGGGTGACTTCACACTCGGGTTTGGCTGTAACAGCCACACTGAGCACAGACCGTGAGACAGGCAGGGAAGGTGCATGGGCCAGCACAGGCCTCGGGGGCACTGCAGGGGAGACAACACACACAGGGGACAACCTTCACGTTGTCACAAGCCACTGGCCATAAAGAGGCAGGGGAAGGGAGTGAGGTAGGGGCTCCTGCACTGTCTGCTGGGGCAACCCCTGGCCAGTGCTCAGAGCCACTGGTCCCCAGGTAGCTGTGCAGGCCATGGTGCCAGAGGAGCCTGTCCCTATGGCAGTGTCCTGCTGGTCCTCCACCCCACCCTGACCCACGGTTTGGGTAGTTGTGGGGTCAGGATGCACCACTACACCCAGAGACAGCAGCCATCGTGGCTTCACTGCTCTCTCAGGAAATGGGGTGGCTTTGGCACAGCACTACGTTTTGGTATTCCTGGTGGTGGGACCTCATCAGGGCTGAGCTGGGCTTCCTCTGTCCCTCACAGCTCTCCCTGCTCCAAATCCCCCGAGGAAACTTCCCTGTGGGGAGGCAGCATGGGAGTGGGCAGCACCCATTGGCAGTGGCTGGATTGTCACCCTCCCAGGGGGTGATTGTCACCTCTGGGAAGCCCAGCCTAGGCTGGCACTGCAGGAGCCCTGGGGGTGAGACACTGGGATGGGGAGAGCAAGACACAGGGACAGCTGTAGGCAGAGGCAGAGCTGGGGCAGTGCCCAGAAGGGTCAGTGAGGGAGGGCAGGAAGGTCCTGGCTGTTCTTTTCCTACAGCTCCACATCCCACCAAGCCTCTGCTCTGAGCTCCAGGCAGTCACCTGAAGACAGAGATCAGCAAGACACTGGGACTGCAACACCAGACAAGCTGCCAGCAATATGTGGGGATGGGATTGGCCTGAGACAATACACAGTTAGTTACAAAATAAATCCCCTCCCACCCACCCTTGGAATACAAAGAGCAGCAGACAGAACATGCATCTTTCTGGCCCTACAAAATAAGGCACCAGAGTTACACACGAATCTCGGATTGTCTTTGATATAAAAGGAATTCCCACGTGTCGAAGGCAGTTGATGTCTGAGTGCATAACAGGGAGTGATCTTCACTAGCTTTGGGTTGGCCAACCTCATTCCTTGGCCTCGGTGGCTTTCTGGAACAGGGGAAGCTGCAGGAGGGGAAGAGAGAAGCTGTTAGGGCTGGAGGAGGGGGAGGCGGGGAGCTGCCTGCATTCTGTGGTGGGCAGGGCTGGGGAAGGAGGGGCTCCCCGGGAGGCTGAAAGCTTCCAGGCAGGTCCCCGTACCCTAGGAGCTGCTGGCATTGCCAGCTGCCAGTGCCAGCTCACCTTTGTGAGATCCACACCGGTGATGGCACGCACAGAGGCAGGGATCTCTGCCAGCAGGCGGTTCACCTCCGACGCAGTGCTGTTGTCCTGTCCACTGAGAATAAGGATCTCATCCACTTTGGAGAGGGGAGCAGATACTTTGGCAGCGATCTGAGGAAGCCGGGAAAGAGGGTGGGATGCGCAGTGGGATGAGCAGTCAAGGAACTGCTCAGCAGTCCACTGGGCAAGGTCCCTGCACACCAGACAGGGCCTCACTGTGCTCCTACCACTTGTCCAGAGTAGAGCAAAGCTGCTTGCTCCTCACCTCAGGCAGTGCATCCAGCACTAGAGCCAGCTGGGCAGCTTCTCCATACTTCTGGAGCGCTTCTGCTTTCAGCTTCATGCCCTCAGCCTCTGCCATCCCGATGGCCTCGATCACATAAGCCTCCGCTTCTCCGATCTTACGGATCTTTTCTGCCTCTGCCTGAGCAAGGAGGACTCGCTTCACCCTGGAAAGGGAAACCCAGCCCTGGAGCAGCCTGGATCCCTGCAGAGAGCCCAGGAGCTGGGGCTCAGGAAAGCACTGTGCTCCCACCTCCCCCAGCCCAGGTCAGGGGCTCACTCACTTCTCGCCCTCAGCGATCTGCTGGATGCGGTAGGCCTCGGCCTCAGCTGGCTGCTTCACAGTGGCCACCAGCTCCTTCTCCATCCGCATAACCTCCTTCTCTTCCACCTCGATTTGCTTCTTGCGCTGCACCACCTCGATTTCGATTTCCTCCTGACGGATCTTCTGCTGCTCCTGGGCGCTCTGGAGCTCATAGGCCAGCTGGGCCTCTGCCCTCTGCACATGGAGGAGAGGAGGAGTGGGGTCTGGGTCATAATGTGTGTGCAGACATAAGGACCTTTGGCAGGTCCTGAAACCAGACACAGCTCCTGCTACTGAACCTCTTCCCAGGGCTGACACCCCAATCCTCAGGGCTGTCCTTCCCTGTGTGCTCTTCCCACCGCACTTGAGTCCAACCAGCTCCATATTCAGCCTGCATGACCCTCCCCACTCTTCCCTCTCCTTGTTGCATTGAGTATCTGCAAACATGAGTGGGAATCTGCTGCAAGAAGCTCATGCAGTGACATACAGACCTGGCTTCTTCCACCTCCAGCTCTCCTAACAGATGCAGGAGCAGGAAGCTGACAAGCCCCAGAGCCATCAACACCATCACAAACCCTCCAGGGACCAGCAGTGGGCTGTGGAATACTCTCACCTTAATGTTGATCTCCTCGGTGAAGGCAGCTTTCCGCAACTCAAAATCCCGTTTGGAATCTGCTATTTTGGTATCTGCCATGTACTTGACATCCAGCATTTCTTTCTTGCACTCTGCCTCCTGCAGAGAGGGAACAGAAAGCAGAGCTCCAGGGTCTGCAGCAGGAGCAAAACAGGCTGCTCCAGGCGAGCCCAGCACGTCTCTGCACTCACCCGAATGCCAGCATCTCGCTCGGCTTCTGCCACTCCAATGTCTGCATCCCTTCGGACAGCTGCAGTCTGAGTCTTCCCCAGGGAGCTCAGGTAATCCACCTTATCATACACATCCTGGGGAGAGGAGAGAAGTCACAACCACTTCAAACGAGTGACTCCATCTTGCTCCCTTCCCGCTGAAGCTCAGGGCAACCATTCCTGCGGTTAGGCCAGGGGCAGAACATGCCATGTCAGCTGCTGCCAAACAAACAGGGAAGGCAGGGAGAGGCAGGCTCTGCCAGCATCTCCCCCCGACTCCCTGGAGCCTGGGTTATCAGCCAGCTCTCACCACGAGCCTGTTTACAGAAGCAGCCAACCGGGTGCTCTTGGCCAAGCTGCCTGGATACAGGACATGCTGTGGCGGCTGTCATGGAAACTCCCGGAGGGCTGGGGCAGGCTGTCAGCCCGAGCCTTCCAGCCAGCTGCAGCGGAGGAGCCAGGCTCTGCCCTGCTGCTCCTACAGCTCTGCCCACAGCACAGTGCCCAACGTCTGGGCATACCTTGATGGTGAAACTCATGATTTCGATTCCCATGCGACCCACGTCGGGAGCTGCTACCTCCCGCACCAGCTTGGCAAACTGGTCCCTGTCCTGGTAGATCTGTTCCACTGTCAGGGTACCTGCAGAGGGGAGGAAGGTGAAGCACTTTATTTGGAACAGGTAACACACAACAGTGTGGGTCTAAGATCAGCAACATCCTTGTTGCCCCTAATCGCTTCAGGCCTGGGCATAAGGGCATAATCTTCTGTCCCTGCAGCAGGATCAACATCTCAGTCTCACAAGCACAACCACCACCCATATGAGCTACCTGTAGCCCACGGGGACTCAGACATCTCTTACTGCAGGCACCGAAAACTCATTTATCACAACTCCCAGCCATGCAGCAGGAGCTGCTGAAGGGGAGATGCCACCTCTGCAGTCGGCAGAGGAAGGTCCCATGTGGCTGCTGTGGTGGCAGTGATACTGCTGGGACCAGCCAGCTGAGAAGGGACAAAGTTACTTGAGATGCCTTCAGGGGCACAAGCCCCTCCGCACCTAGGATGGAGCGCAGGTGTCCCTCCAGTGTCTGAAGGACCACGTTCTTCACATCCTGCACGTTCTTCCCCAAGAACTGCTCACAGGCCACAGCCAGGAGCTCCTTCTCAGTCATTATCTTCACCTAGAAACAGGAGACAAAACCAAAGGGATGAAGGTGCCTGACCAAGAAAGAGGCACAGGCACCCAACAGCAGCAGCAGCAGCAGAAGCAGCAGTACCACCACCAGGCTGCCAGGCTCCTGTGCTGCCAATGCTCCAAGGGACCATGCTGAGCTGTCACCAGGCCACTGGACCAGCCAGCAAGCCCCTGCTCACTGCTGTGAGGGAGAGCCCTGCTGCAGGCATACACCAGTGGCCAGGGCAGACACCTCTCCAAAGCCCAGTGCTAGCTCAGTGTGGAGAGGTAATCCCTGCAGCCATCTGTCCCACAGCAGTGGGCACAGAGCTTGGCCCTGCCAGTCCCACTTGATGAAAACTCTACCAAAGAGCCTTGAACTCCCAGTTCAGCCACTGCACCAACACCAGAGCCAGGAGAGGGCTTGCCACTAACACCCCTGGCCAAAAGCCATTTTGTTACCTTTCTCTTCCTCCTTCTTCACTAGAATTAATTTTTCTGAGCCAGGAAAGGCAGAGAACAAAGAAGAGTCTGACATGCCCAAGGAGCAGGAGCTCCATTTGGTGTTCCCTGGAAGGAGAGATGAGATGAGATGGCCACAGTACACTAGTTTGTCCTGCCCATGGCTGGGAGTTCCCAGGTGTCCTTTGCAGTGACCCCAGCATGCCAGGGCCAAGACTTGGCTGTCCTATTCCACACAGTCAGTCTGGTGATGATCCTCAGAGATGGGACACATGGTCAGTCTGGTGATGATCCTCAGAGGTGGAACACAGCTGTCCCAGCACTGCTTTCACCTCTCACAGTCAGAGCCAGGGGTAAAAGCATCCCCATTCCAGACAAGACAGGGGTCTTATGATGGCCCTGCTGGTCACAGGGCTGCTTTTTAAAGGTAAAATGTGATACATATCCCTGTGGGGTGTGTTAGGCAGAGGTCTGTGCTCATGGAGCTCTACAGGACCCAGCTATGAAGAGGTGCAACCCACCAAGGTGACAGCTGCTGGTGGCCATGTCCAGTCTGAGGGTGTCAGGCAAAGCCTGGACACAGGGAGGTCCCTGTGTCTACAGCACCAGAGAAGGGAGCAGGGCCACAGCAGCCCCACAGCTCTCCGGGTCCCACAGCACCCTCTCATGGAGACAGCTGGGCTGGGCAGTGCCTCCTGTCCCATGGGGTGCCCCAAGGGCCCTGCCTGGACCTGGTTCAGAGACTTCCAAAACCTCAGGCATGGTACAGGGCCCCTACAAGGGTCCCAGCGCACACTCTTGAGGGGTTTGCAGCCTACACACCCCATCCTGACACAAGCAAGACTGCTTTCAGCTGCAAAAGCAACACAACTATTTCTTGAGAAAGTCTTGTCTGACAGCCCATGTGTCTGAAATGATCCCTTCTGAGCCAAACAGTAGCACCTGGCCTTGGCACTGCCAGAGAGCAGGACAACTGGGACTGACCATCACCTATGGGGACCAGAGGTGGACCACGTTAGACAAGACAAGCTGGCCAAGACTCACCTGCCACAGTCCTGTCCCTCATAATATGAAGCAACACCAACCTGGGCTTCTTCCCAGACTGGGTCTCCCACTCCAAATGTCAGACTCAGGCAAGCATGGCAATCCAGTTCTGCTTTCTCCCCAAATCCTCTGGGATCCTTTCGGGGCAATTCCACAGTGGTTTCTCATCCCTGCACCCTGGGCCAGCAATGTGTCCTTCCCAGACAAGTGAGAGTTGGGAGAGCTGCTATGGAGCTGCACGCAGGAGTGTGACCCCTGCATGAGGCTCCTCTCCAAGCAAATGGGAGATTTTTGCAAGTATCAAAACCAATTAGACTCAGAAGCCACATTTATGGTGTGCATCTGTCAGCAATTCCACCTCTCCAAACAATGCCCACCCCTGGGAACTGCAGGGAGGGCAGAGCATAGAGCAGGATGTTCGTTAGGAGAATCCCTGCAGTACTTAGGAACAAGGAATGATTCAGCCTCTGAATATAACAGCCAGTCTACCCCAGTAAGGCTTGGACATGCCCACAGGAGCTCTGTGCAGAACACACGTCAACCTCCAAAGCAAAGGTTGCACGAAAGAAACCAGAGTTGAGCAATTTGCACTCAGCATGTTTGCAGGGTTTCAGGCAGGGCACTGCGACACTTGGTGCTTCTTCAAATGTCATTCCCATCAGAGGGAGAGAACGGAGCTGGCAGGGAATCAGAGCCTCCATCCGACAATCCCGTGTGGAGGATCGATACTGCCGCACCCTGCTCCAGCCAGCTGCACTCCCAGCGAGGGGCAGGAGACAATCCAATTAGCTTGAGGCTCAGGAAAACGGGACAGAAGGATATGGAGCCCAGCGTGGCCTAAGGCAGCAGCATCCCAGCACATCCCAGCACACAGCCAGCACAGGAAGGAGTCTACTCATTGCATCACTCTTCAATAGAAGAACAGCATCCTTATGCACTTTAAGCACTTCTATCGTTACATAAAGCACTCTAAAAGCTGCTTCTGTAGTAATAATTTGTTTTCTTTTTTCCTATTTTTCTCAAGCTCAAAGAACACTTGCCTCAAAAGTACTTCTGCAAACTGAAGGTAAGCCCTGCCATGCACATCCCCAAAAGAGGGGTGGACACTTTTGAGCCTACTTTCTGCATGGCAATTCTTTGCATCTCGCCTTTAAAATTAACTGACAGTGAAAAAACTGAATAGTGAGAAGAGAGAATAACATGAATGAGATGAACTGGGAGCTCCATTTTTAAATCAAGGCACCTGGTGATCCAACCCTCTGCTACCATGTACTGCCCAGCCTAGGCCGTTTTGCAGGCAATGGAAAGATGTCCCAATACTAGGACAAACGGGAATGCTGGCTTCACAGAAATCCCAAATACAGAAGAAAAAAACCTACAGACTTATAAAATGAGTGTGAAGAAAACACAGGTGCACACATTTTACCAACCATGCAAAGACCACTGGGCTTATGTGACACTTTAGCGGCTAAATGGATATAAAGAACAGGAAAAGCACTCAGAGGAGGGCATAAAGAACTGGAAACTGAAACCAGGGATACTGGTTCACATCATCAGAGCCAGAAGGAGCCCAAGATGTTGGCTCCTGTGCTGGTGCACTTGCACACAGCCCTGTTCCCCCAAGGGCAGTAGGATGATGGATTATCTGCTGTTGAGTCATGGTCATGGCCGGCCCTTCTGCCACGTGTGACAACCCAGAAACCACTTTGGGCTGAATTCAAACTCTCACTTAGACACAGCACACAGCTCTTCTGCAGCACCAGCTCAGAGCAAACCAATGAACCCAGGAGGAACCTGCTGCCCTGGGAGTACTGGGGGGAATCTGTCAAGTGCTTGGTCTCAAAAGGGCTGCAGCAGCCACAGTGGTGTTCCCTGGGGGAGCCTTTTGACCCACGAGGGACTATGGTCACACCACCCAGCAGCTTCCCTTGGCTCCACTTCACCCCACAGGGAATACAGCAGCCACCTCTCCTGCAACAACACACCTGGACATGCCTCAGACACATGGTGACTACAGCCTTGTGTGCACTGAGAGCCACTCTTGGTTTATACACTCAGAATAAGCTGTCTGCAGCAATTTTCAATCCAAGCATCCAGCTGCCTATTCAGGGAGCCCAATTCCCTCCCAGCATCCTCCCCAGAGCAGGACCTGGAGACAAGGACAGACTGTACCAGGGCAGCACACCTCAGACTCCAAGAAGTGCAGGGTTTTGGAGTGCTGTCACAAGCAGCAAGAGCTGGTTCTGACATTTGAAGAAGGCTGGAAAGAATCAAAATTCAATTCAAGCCAGAAGTTTTACACACAAATTTTAGTGCCTGGAGGGACCGAGATCTTTTTTTTAAGCTTTAACTCACCGTGAAGAATTACAAGCTCCACATGCTAATAATAACAATCTGAAGCAACAGAATACTCAATACCATCTCAGGAGGGTACAGCTCAGTCCTGCAGGGTCACACACAGCTCCAAGGGCACCACAGCACAACAGAGTTGCACAAACACATCAAGTTACCCCCACACACCTCATTTGTCACAGGGGCAAATGAGACACCAGAAAAAGAGATATGATTTTGGGGAGAGGATGAGAAGTCACAACCCCCTTCACCACCTGGGACATGCTGGAGTGTGTTTGAACCAACAGGGACAGTGTAGGTTTGTACAGGGATTTGTTTCACAGCAGTTGGCTTCTCTCTCTGGACAACAGCAACCTCTTAAGGGGGAAAACAAGATGTTAAGTTAGAGACATGCATTCCTGAAATGATGTTTTGGAGTTACTGTACCTGTGCCACACCTGTGACAGTTATAGCTACCCCCTCCGCCGTCTCTACGTCCTCACACTTGGGCTGTAACGTCATTATCTCTAGGGAAATCCTGCCAAAAAATGTAAAATATTTGCACATTTCCAGGTAACACACACTCACCTCTTCCCTTTGCATCTCCTGCCCCAGGCTACCTGCAGCACTCAACACAGGTAATGTAAGACAGGTGCAGAATGCAGCCAAGGGAGCACATCTGTGACTGGAGACAGACACATCACTTTGTCCCAGAGTGATGCTTAAAGGCAGTTCATCAGCAAAGGCTGAAAGTCAGACTGGGAGTGATCTTGTGACCCTTTCCCTCCTGCTGGGTTAGTGAGGTGGCTGCCAGCTTTGGGACCCCAGAAGTCCCACCCTCAGAGGCTCATTGTGCCACACTACCCAACACTGTGGCAGCACTGGCTGGTGTCTAGTTTAAAAGCACAGCACAGAACTGGGATGCTCCCAACCACCTCACAGGAGCCCTGGTATTGATACTGCAAGAAGCATCCCTGTGTTAGCACTACCACAGACCTACCCCCTCAACTGGTTCACCTCTCCATCTATTTTCCAGTGTACCGTGACCCAAAGGCAGATGGAAATGAGTCTCCAGCTCTTTATGGCCATGCTGTTAGAGTATGAGGCACTCAGGAACTGATGCTGCAGCTCTCGAGCTTTCTCAGTCACCCAACGTGGGCTTGAGGTACTTTGGTCAGACTCAGCAATCTGCAGGTCAGAATTTGGTAATATAAGAGACATGTTTGGCCATGGCAAGTTCTGCTCCAGGAAGCCAAGCCTGGCTCTCATGTCAGCTACAACAAGCTGGAAAGGCGTTGGGAGTCAGGACAGGGAGCCACAGGGCAGACAGCTTGTGTCAGTGAACATTAGGTCAAATATCTGAACCGTGAGGGGGCTGCCCTGGGTTGCTGTGTGCACACTGAGTTGCTCCAGGATTGGCTGGAAGTGCTGAAACCTATGCCTGCAAGTTCATGCCTGCCTTGGCCACTGTCCTAATTAAACTGGCATGCAAACTAGGAGCTGATAAAACAGATCTCACTGTCCAGGACATGAACAGGCATTTTTTGCCATATGCATTCATAGCTTTAAGCAGATACTGCAAAATTTCAGCCTTCTGAAGGCCTAATCTATACTTTGAACTTAATTTCCAAATTGTTCTGCTGCTTAGCTGGCAATTCACAGGGTCATTACTGGTTCAGAACTGCTCACAGTGCCAATGCTAGTCCTGTCTGCTACAACTCATCCAAGGTGTCTGTGCTGTACTTTCAAATGTGACAACATCCAAAATGGGCAGTCTTCAACGTGGAGGAAGAAGGGCTGAGTGGAAATCCACAGCCAAAACTACAGAGCCAGGTACAGTTGCAGTTTTCCTACATGTGGACAGGTTTCCTTTTGAAATGGCACAAGACCTGTCCCAAGTCCTGTACAGAATCCAACTTGGCCTGCCTGTGGCTCCACACAAAAGCAAATGCCCTGCTCTCCACCAAGCACACAATGGAAACAGTGACAGCAAGGAAAGGGTCACAGCAGGAGTAAAGGTTAGGTAACAGCAATGCTGAATTTGGAATTTGCCAAGGATGTCCCTGTCTGCATTACCTATGGAGTGCCTGAAGGCAAGTGCTGGAGAAGGAGAAGGAGAGGAGGGTATTGAGATTTCAGCTGTCCCGTTAGAAAACCATTAGTTTTCGTGTTATCCTGCTGCTGCTGCTGCTCGAAACAGAGGGATAAATGGTTAGACAGGATAGACAGGATGTTAGGAAGCTGGTGGATTATTACCTGTGCAACCCCTGTTACGTACACTGGAACCCCCTCCGACGTCTCAATATTCTCGCAGCGACAGAGGATGGTCATAACCTCCAAAGACACTCTGAGCAGCGAGGAATAAGGGTAGGACAGCAAATATACAAAGCAGTTACCAGAGAGTAAGACACTCATTGCAAAGGACAGACGAGACTTTCAGGTTTCAGCTTTTCCCTGTTCAGTTTGCCTTTCTCCCACTGCCTGCTCCCAGGGCCAGACCAGCTTCCCTAGTCATGGTGGGGAATTTACAGCATCCAGATGCTTCTTTTTATGAGGATAAACAGGCTGGGGGCCTGTCTCCATCCTGCACATGAAACTGAACCTGGGCTGCTGTCCTGAAGTCAGCTGGAATTCTCTCTTGAAGTATCTTCCACACAGAATATTCATTTTGGTAATAATTTAGATGCTTCTATGTCAATACTTAAGAGGGGCCAGTAAAATGAAAATGCCTGAAACCTGGATACCCACCCCTGGCTAAGGCATTGAGGAGAGAAACTGCTTCCAAGTGCTGTCCTGGGAAGCTGAATTAATACCATTTGGCTCCCTCAGAGGCATATTAGACCATGTCTCTCTCACTGCTTTTATTTCTGACCTCTAAACAGGGACAGCATTTTTTCTTCCGTGTTTTTCCCCAGTGCTCAAGGTTGCAGCAGGATAAGTGCCCAGCACCCTGCCAGCTCTAACTGTTCCTTTTGTTCCCAGGTTAGTGCTACCTGGCGGGATGCCTCTGACAGCAACACAATCGCTGCTGTCTCTCTTGCTCGCAGCACTGGCAGTTCCAGAAAAAATGTCCTAATTTCAGAGGTGGAAATCTGCCTCACTCTTCATGTTAATGCAGTAGGTTCCATCTGGGACACAGCTTATGGCATTTGGGAAAGGAGAATTAAACCCTACATCCCACAGCGTGAACTGGGGGTATTGATTTTAAAGTAAAAGATTTGTTTGGGTGCTGGAATTTCTGTCAAGAGCCTCCTTTGCCCTGACCTCTATCACATGACACCTCATTCCTGGCAAGCAGTTCTTGGGCCCAGATTCTGCCTATCCTTAATAAATGAGTCTCCCAAATACATCTGTTACCTCCTACACTTGTCAGATCAAGGTCCTGCACCATTCTCTGCACCTCTCACATAAGAAAAGGAGGAGCAGAAACCATTTGTTCAATTAACAGTTCTCCCAATGAGATGCTTGACAAAAAATCAGGAATGAAGCTTGTCTGGATCAAACACAGCCCTTAAATATTGAGCCCATAAGCTGGGCCTTTCCTTCCCCTCCCACCTCATGGAGCATGGCTGGAGAAGCAAGGCTAAAGCAGCAGGTGTTAGCTGAGCCCTCTCCATGCAGCTGAAGCACCACAGTCAGTGCTCATAGCAATCCTGAGCACCATCCACCTGGGAGAGGACCTGAGAGCTGCTGAGTCAGACACCAGCAGCAGCCAGGACCCCTTGGAACAAGGCAAGGTGCCTGACCCCAGGGTGGGTAGTGTATCATCTGCAGAGTGAGGGCAGAAACATGCTCCCTTTGTCTGCTGGTGACAACACAGGAACAGGGAAAAGAGGCTGGAAGACCAGGCAGTAAGGCTTAACTACAACCTCTGGCCATCACTCAGTGCAAAACCCAAAAGTCATGTCTTTATCCTTTTCCCTATTATTCTTTCACACAGACGGAGGAAATCTGCATCAGTGTGCATGAGGGATGTGTTGGGAGAGAGATAGCATTCCTACAGATCCTAGAGACAAAGAGCTGAATTAGCAGGACAGCAGCACTACCACAGCATGTTAGCTCAGAGACCAGACCGTAAGCAGCAGCAAGCAAAATCCACGGCTGAGGAAAGGGAGAGAAAGGAAATCCCGTGGGTTTAAATCGGAACAGTCTGCTCCCAAGGTGAGAGCAGTCAGCAGATCTTTAGACAGAGAGACTCGAGGAGCAGGAGGGGGCACTGGTGCACTGCAGGCCACAAACGGGTTTGTTACTGGGGGAGGAGTTGGGACACACTGGGCAGAACTCTACTCCTCTTGTGAACTCATGGATGAGCCAGGCTGCTGCCCCTGCCAGCACCTCTGCCAGAGCCTCAGAGCTGTGAAAAGGGCTCTTGCCTTCCTCAGCACTCACTGCACCAACACAGGAAGAAACACACTGACCAGCCAGGCTAAGGGTCTCTAGCTCGGTGGGGTATAAGTAAATAAAAAACAGCTAAAAAGGGAAAAAACCCTGGAAGAAACCCCAACCCGATTACCTTGGGTTTGAGAGGCATGAACAGAGACCATTTGAAAAGTACTTCAGCTGACAGCATGGGATTTCTTTTTTGTGTGTGTCTTTTGCATTGTGACACCCAGCTGTGCCCATGCCAACAGTCAGTCAGCACAGAACTGATGCTCATCCATAGTTTCATACACAGTGCCCAGTCCCTTGTTCCTAAAGACACTGCTGACAGCCCCACTGGGATGGCTTTGCCTAACTCCTACTCAAAAAAACCCCACAAATAATGGGGTTCTCCTTACCTTTGGGTGTCAGTGATGCACCACCAAGCCCAGGCCCAGCCTCCATACACATACTGCTTCACATCAGAGCCACAACAGCCACCTGCAGCACAGCAGAGAGCACAGGGACATCAGATTACACACACATTGCTCTTGGACAGGGAATAACCTGCATCCAGACTGAGGCATAAGCAACAACTTCATAATGAGCCTGCCCACCTGGGAACCCAATGCTTTTCCTCCCCTCCATGGGCTTCACATGGCAGTTTTCTCAAAGCAAACATTTTTGGAATTGTCTTATAAAATTGGAAAATAGTATTTGTAATAATTCAGTATGATGAACAGTAAAACACAGAGAGCAACTGTATTTCAAACCAGGACTTTACTTTAGTTAAACAGTTTAAGTAAGCACTTTTCACAACTAGAATCCTTGTAAGTACATGCTACAGGATTTTGAACCATGATGCACCAGCTCTGTTATAGAAAGCCATGTAAGAAATCCATCTCCTATCCCTAATCCCACACTGCAAACTACCCTTTAATTCCCAGAGAAACCTGCAGGTCAGCATTGGAGGAGAGAAGAAACCTTAAGCTCCCCCAAAATACCTCCTAGTTCTGGCCTGTGCAAGTACTACAGTGAGTGAGGCTTTGACAGTGGTGCCCATGGTTTGAGCAGCCACCAGAACTCCTATGACACACTTAAGATTTGATCCTAGTGAAGCCAGAAGATGCCGTCTGGATTTTCATACCTCTGATTTAAGGACAAGACACCTGCTGCCTTTCAAGTGAGCACCCTGCCAGTGACCAGCCCCAGGTTTCATGCCTGGGAAGGGAGGAGCTCTGCAGTTCCCTGGCTCAGACCAGAGCTGGGAGCTGCTGACTCTCAGGCAGATTGAGCCAGAATTCCCTCCCTCGTCTGCTCTCCATAATCACACTTACTACAGCAGTGCCCGAGGGCTCAGCAAGGCTAGGGCTGTACCAACAGAGCAGAGGCAGTTCCAGCCCTGCGGGATAGATCTATG